TATATATATATATATAATGAAGTTATTACAGTAAAAACAATAACAATCCCATTTATTACACAATGGAGTTCAAAGCCAAATAGCAACACAAGTCAAGCTATTCGTGGAGAGTCAGTATTTACGTTATTAAAAGTCCAATTCATTCACAACATGTAAATGAATCGCTTAATTTCAGTTAGCTATAAAACAGACGTTACGTTAAAGGTTGCGTTAAATTCAAAATGACGATCCCTGTTTAAGGGATTCTCCCCAATGCTCCCATCATTCTCTTTTCAGATGGGATGGTGGGACAAATCAAAGCTTAGCCTACCATGGGCCAACTTTGGCCCTAGTTTGGACATCTTAATAATACGTTTCTAACTTAAAACTAACATAGTCACGTTAAATCACACACTCAAGAGAATCTGTTCGTTATTTTGAAGACGTCGAAGAGAAGGGAACCGTCTCAATGGAAAGTGCATTTATGTAACTAATAAGATAACTGTATTACCAATATAAGACGAGATGCTAAACTGACTCTCGGTGGTCATTAATAATCCCATGGCACTTCTGGTAAATAGTAGGGGTGTAACCCCGGTGTCCTGGCCAAATTCCCTCTATCAGCCCTTACCTATCATCCCCATCCACTGAATCAGCTCTATCAATTGTCTCCCCATTCCACCTATAGCTGGAGTGCTGTCGTCGTTGTCCTGTGGCTATCATCGCATCCTCCAAGCGGATGTTGCACACTGATGGTGGAGTGGGGAGAGACCCCACATGATTGTGAAGTGCTTGGTCATATATAATAAGTGCGCTATATAAATACACATTACGTTACTTGTTACTTTTTGGGGGTGTAACGCTATTGTACTGCATTACTATTAAAAGTAGCTTTCCCCAACTACTGTTTATGACTGGTTTTATATATTGAATGAACATATCTATGCTAACTGAGTAATCATACAGTACTGTGATTAGCCCATCATGAGCTATAGTGATCCCTGGTAGAGCAACTGACTCCCATGCGGAAGGTCGCCGGTTCGATACCAGCTCGGAGCGGGTTGGGTGGCGTAGGACCGGCAGGGTTACACTGTGAGTAGTCTTTCAGGACTGGTCTGAAAATAGATTTCACCCATGGAATGACACTGATGAACTTTCAAAAGTGTTTCAAATTGGGCACATAGTGAGGTGTGAACGCTGGACGGCAATTATTGAAATGTTACCTGATTGTGTCCAAATTCAGCGATGTCTGCTTGCTTGGGAGCTCGGTCGCGTTCTGTTTCTCTCCACACCGATTCTTCTTATGGCAAAACATGATTTTTCCAAAGGAGGTTTCAAAATAATATTGAGTGTATCCTTGTTTGATGATTCTTTCATACAAACAATTTATAACCTCCCGCTGTTTTCCAACTCCTCCTAAAGAATTTAATACATTTGTTATAGCAATATCATCCGGTTTAGTTCACCTAAGTGTAACAAGCCAGCTAGTGTGTGCTGTGCAGGTAAACCTCACTCCTCTGACCTCTAAAGGTGCTCTAGCGACAGACACTAGAGGTCATGGTCTTTAGCCTCCTTTTTAGAGCAACCGACTCCCATGCGGAAGATCGCAGGTTCGATCCCAGCTCGGAGCGGGTTGGGTGGTGTAGGTCCGATGGGGTTACATTGGTGCCGTGACCCAGATGGGAGTGAGGTTTAGGGGGTTGAGCGTGACGGAGACCAGCTAGTGTGTGCTGTGCAGGTAAACCTCACTCCTCTGACCTCTAAAGGTGCTCTAGTGACAGATGCTAGAGGCCATGGTCTTTAGCCGCCTTGTTAGAGCAACCGACTCCCATGCGGAGGGTCGCCGGTTCAATCCCAGCTCGGAGCGGGTTGGCTGGCGTAGGACCGGCAGGATTACAGAAGTCACTGTGGATTTAACCCAAGGAGCTCAGTGAATATTCATTCATTCATTTATGCCTTTAGTAGGTGTAAGTCTGTTAGATAGGAAATATACCAGTAGGTTTGTGTTTTTCAAATTTTTCAATTTAAAAGGAAAATTTCTTCTAGAGGAAAGTTTTACTGGAGGGTCTTTGGTTAAGGATATCCGCTTGTTAAGTTTGACGTCACGCGAAGCAGCTTCCGGGTCCAAGCGCTCTATTCAACTGAATGAGGAGACTCATAAAATGGTAATAATAAACGTTTACAAAGCGATTTAATACTTTCAGAAATCACGATCGCAATATATTTGTCTATGCCTAATATCCGATGGCCAGAAAGTCATTCATTTTTTATAAATTGTTAAAATTTTTGGTATTTGTTATGCAGCAAGCCCAGAGATTGTTGCGTACACTATGATTTTATATAAAATTAACTTTAATGTGTGACAGGAATAAAACGGGATCATAAACGAATGATTTCTCCACTCAAATGAATGGCGGCTTGGACCCGGAAACAGTATTACATACGTCACAAACACGTCACCACTTAACAAGCGGATAGATTGGAATAGAACCTAGCTTCAAATATTGCATTTCCAACAGGGCAAAATATACACATTTTAAAATTTGACATAAAATCTACCCTGTAAATTCTAGCATTTCCACATTTTTGGACATCGAAAGCTCCTCTTCTTTCTCCAAACAAGCAGAGGAGACACTAGCACATGTGTTTTTTGATTGTCCAAGCAATTTTAGTCACTTCTAAATTCTCACATATCTGCTTCTGCCAATGCTGTGAATTGCTTTAGTCTAAAAGACATTATTTTTACCGTAAAAACCCTAATGCTAAATCCCTGGAACACATCATACACTCTTTTTTTTTTTAATCGTAGATGGCATTTGTTTTCATTCACAATCAGAAATTCGCTAATAATTGCCCATCCTTTGCTCATTTTAGAATAGATTTAACGCCCTCCTAAAATCACTTCATCTTATTAAGAATAAAAGAAATCTAAGATTCCTGAAATATTATGCAGATGAATTTAAAGAAAGATTGGTTGCTTTCCATTCATTTAATTTAGTTTGTTTATTTTAGCATTATTATTTCATTATTATTATTAATACTGTAATTCTATTAATGTTTTTTCCCATTTGTATTCTACTTTATATATATTTTTTCTTATAGCTATGTAAATTATTGACTATTTTTTTAACATCTGTCTGCGATCCCTTGGACTTCGTTACGATGTTTTTGTATTGTCAGTTCAAGCATTACTAATAAAACATAATAATAACAAATGTTACCTGACGAATCGGTCATAAGCGCCACCCATCTTTTTTTTAATTATTATTATACATTTTAACTGTACAAGATGCATGCCAAAAGGTAAGCGTAAATCAAATACAAATATACAAAATGTACATAGGTAATAATGAAATAAATACATTGTAGAGTTCACAAAGTTTTCAACAGCGTAGGGCTTACTTATTTAGAGAGTCGCTGATATTGCTAATATATAAGCATAATTCAGTCATCAATACCTTAAAATTAGGCCCACACGGAATCTGCGCGCGCAGAATTCCGCAGATTTTCCGCAGAATTCCGCAGATTTTCCGCCGATTTTCCGCCGATTTTTCCACAGAATTCCGCAGATTTTCCGCCGATTTTTCCACAGAATTCCGCAGATTTTCCGCCGATTTTTCCACAGAATTCCGCTGATTTTCCGCAGATTTCTGCAGATCTTTAGCCCATTATTAATTCTGTTTATTTACTTGAGTAAATGTGTAAATCTGAATTTATTCAGTTTTTATTCAGTAATTTATTACTTTTTATTTAATATATTAAGGTTTTCGTTATGATACTCCACTGGATACTCCCAAAATAATTCCGCAGAAATCCGCAGATTTTTTACCAAAATTCTCTGCAGAAATAGAAAAAAAACATCCGCAGATTCCGTCTGGCCCTGCTTATAATTCAATTTCTTATTGGCAAAGTTTACATGAATGTAAAATTTTGTTTGCTAAATAATTAAATTAAAACAAATTTCCTCTTGATTAGGGTAAGTAGTAAAGCCAAAGAGTACATTTTCCCACAACAATGACAGAGGTTTCGAACACTGTAATCTTTTATTAATAAATAAGTTGACTGAGCATGCGCGATGCCAAAACAAGTGTGAAGCAGTCTCCCCATATTCATTACAAAAATACAATTTACATCAATCCCACTTTTAAATGTTTGTAAATAATGTTTTGCTGGATAAAATCTGAGGAGAAGTTTGTAGGATTTATTTCTGTGGTAAACGCCACACGTTTTTTCCCCAGCAAATCAGTGGATCCTTTAATAAAGTAGCCCCGCCCATCTCTGCTCCTCTTCCACTGCTCTTGTCCATTCTAGTCCGCGGTGTAATTTAAGCGCATGCGCAGTGTGTCACGGAACGAGCCAACGGACGAAGTTGGAAACAAGACTGTTTGTTAATCCTGATTTTTTACAGTAAGCAATGGGTGAGTATATTGGTCCCCCGCACATTCATTTACACTGTTTCCCGTTGATGTATAACACCGAGAGCTCCAGCGCTTCTCAAAGCTTGGCTGTTAGTAGAGCATCCCAGCTCAGATGTAAACAGCTAGTACTGTCTATCATGTTGGGAGGAAACTGAGACTTTTGTTTTACTGCCTGTAATGTTATTGTTGGTTTATTTGTCGTTTTTATTCTGTTACGCGTCTTGGTTGCAGTTTTGTGAATTAAAGCACGTTTATATATGTTTATATCTGCGAAACAGTGCATACATACATTACATTTTCACTGCTAACGTGAAACCAAGATTGTGGTAAAGTAGGTTTTATATTCACACATTCGGTCTTTCTCCTTAATAATATAATTACACTTTATTTCTTTATTTATTTTTTGCAAATTATAAATAGTAAAATATTAGCAGCCAACGAATATCTTAGCACAACATTGTTCACAGTCAAGTAAATAGTGCTAATGTTGTTTTGAAGCCGTGTGACTGAATGGTCAAAGTACCATGATAAACAATGTAAGGAACACCTTGTCACTGAACGAATGTGCCAATATAAAACTTTAAGTTTCCTCAATGAAACCAAGTATCATGTTGAATGTCAGATATGTTCTAATATGAGCTTAAATTACTGAATATCACTGTATATGCTTATAAATGTGTGTGTGTATGATGCTGAACATCAAAACCAGTCGTGTATGTTGCAAGGGTGTATATTTATTGAGATAAAGATGCTTTTAAACTCGTTTTTACCGTGTTTACCACGGTACTTTGAATATTCAGACTGAAGTCACGTGTTAGTATGACTTTAAACTGTAAACAGTGATGTGCTTTAATTGTTGGCTGCTAAAACGATTTCACTTTTTAGACCCTGCTGAAAAATCCAGCTTAAACCAGCCTAGGCTAGTTGGCTGGTTTTAGCTAGTCGACCAGCCTGGTTTTAGAGGGGTTTTGTCACTCGCCGCCATGTGCTACCTTTTGGCATTCCGAAGCGCTTAGATGACTGGCCAGCAATTTTTATTCCCTTCCGTGAGGATCGTGCTTCCCCTGGGCTAAAAAAAGCTACAGCTCCTCTGCAGTCCGGGGGGTGTGAAGTTCCGAGAACATTTCCTGAGTCTGAAGCGATGATGATAAGATGCTCCCATTCCTATCACGGTGTCGCTTGACGTTCGGCGGGGATCTGACAAATGTCATGAATTACTGTTGTGCGAGGATTTGATGAGAAGTCCTGCAAATCCCATTGCCTTAAAAATCAACGGCGTCCCAGGACATTCC